GGATGGCCAGGAGGGATGTGTAGAGCAGGGGGCTGTGGATGCCATGAAGGGGTCGAGGGCCGTGGCCCACAGCAGCCCTGAGGTGCAGGATGGAGAAGCAGTGACTGAAGAACATCTGGGCAAGGCAGGTGTCAAACCTGGGCTCCCGTGAGCCCAGAGCAGCACCCTGAGCACCGTGGGGAGTGTGGACAGACACACTGAGCTCCAGCATGGCCAGCAGGCACAGCAACAGGAGCATGGGCTTGTGGAGGCTGCGCTCAGCTCTGATGCCAAGGAGGGTTGCACTGTTTCCCAGGGTGGAAATGACGTACAGGCAGCAGAAAGGGATGGCAAGCCACACATTCCCACTTCCCACTCCCGGGATTGCTGTTGGAAGGAAGGTAGAAGGTCTAAGGAAGCTGCTGTTGCTCTCTTACCTAGTGCAGCATCTTTGTCGTGTCAGAGATCCAGCAGCAGGTCCCGCAGCAGATCCTGCTCATCCTGCAAAAGAATTCACAGAACCCACAGAACAGCAACCAGGACACACAGCAAAGCTTTGTGTCACTGCAGGAATCTGGAATTCTGACTTGGCAGCAAGAGGGAATTTCACCTTTGTGATCAGCTCCCAGACAGAGAACCACAGCTCCTGGAAGTCAGACAGCTGCTGGAGATGGAGGAGGCAGTGCCTGGTTGATGGATTTTGTTTTTGCTGTGCCAGGGCACGGAGAGTTGTTTAACTGAGTGACAGACTGACTGTGCTGCCCAGGGAGCCACAGCACTGGGAGTGACATCCTGGCTGGAGGGGGAGAGCAGACTTGTACCCCAGACAGAGATCCCCCCCCTGGGCCGGCAGGCAGGGAGGGAGTTCACTGGTCCTTGCTCGGGCTTTTCCTGGCCCAGCAGCAGAGCAAGAGGAGGAGCCCCTTGCAGGTACCAAGACCTGGGCTCTGATGTTGCCAGGTGACTCCCTCACCTGCATATCCCAGTGTGGATTCCCGTGCCTCAGGGAGGAGATTCCCGACTCCCTCCTGTCGGGTGCTGCAGAGTACATCAGCTCTGATGGCTCCGAGCCTCATCCTCAGTTTAGATCTCTTTTTTCCCCACTATTTTCATTTTCAATCCTTTGCACCTCTGTTTCCTTTCTTTCTGTGAATTGATCTCAGGCTTGGTGATCTTCTCCTTCCCTAAAAATAGCCTTGGCAGCACAGACCTGCGGGAAGGGCCTCCGTGCCAGGCGGTTTCTGTCTCTCTGAGCTGAGCACAGCTGAGAACCCTCACAGTGCAGCAACACTGCAGCCAACAAACACCCACCAGCCTGGGGATGCCAAAGGTGCTGCCAAAAAGCAGTGCAGTGAACACCTGCTAGTCCAAGAGCAGAAGATTTTGGCCTCGGATATCCTTGTATGTAGGAACGCGGGCGCTGTTTTCCAGCATGAATGAAGTAAACAACAACCACACCACCCTCTCCAGAGGGGGAGAGCTCTGGCAGCTCCCAGTGCTGCCCAGGAACCTTCTGCAAGATGAGGAGACAAGATCTCAGTCCTACTTACCCACCTGGCCAGGCTGAGGCACAAAGGTTGTCCTTCCTTACAGATCTCTGGGTACCTGCTCTGTCAGCAGCAGCATCTCAGCTGGGCAGGACCCATCAGTCACATCAGGGCACAGCTGGCACTGCCAAGGGCACATTGTCTCACCCCAGTGTCTGTCCTGGTCGGATAAATGGTGAGTGCAGCCCTCACTGAAGGAAAAAAGGGTCTGAGGGGAACAAGCTCCTCGTGACACAGGCACCCTCCCTCTAAAACTCATCATCACTTCAACCACAGTAACACCATCAGTTATCTGATATTTATCTGAGAGCTGACATGAGAAAAGCAGCCTGGAAAAGCTGATGGCTTTGCCTTAAGTATTTATATGGATATTTGTATCTCCACACCCACACAGGAGCTGCTGGAGCATTTCCCTCCAGGCTGCAGGTGAACGTGCCTTGACATCACCCTCCACAAGCTCCCCAGGGCTCCCAGGCTCGCTGGGGACTTCTGCTTCTTGGTTTTGGCTGATCCACTGCCTCAAAGGAGCTGATGCAAACATGTCCTTGAACCCCAGTGTCCAGTGGGATTTGCCTTGGCTTTGCACCAGGAGCTAAATAGGAGCAGGGACTGGGTGTGATGTCAAAGCAGGACTGGGAGGTGCTGCTGGTTTATGGCTTCAAAGAGGGACATCAGGCAGGAGGAAACACTCCTGGGAGACCCTCTGTAGGGATGAGGAGGAGAGATGGGAATGCACCAAGAGGAGAGAGTGATGGTGGCAAGATGGGGAAAAGCTGGAGAGAGACCTTGGACAAGGGCCTGGAGGGACAGGACACAGGGAATGGCTTCCCACTGCCAGAGGGCAGGGTTAGATGGGAGATTGGGAAGGAATTGCTGGCTGGGAGGGTGGGGAGGCCCTGGCCCAGGTTGCCCAGAGAAGCTGTGGCTGCCCCTGGATCCCTGGAAGTGTCCAAGGCCAGGTTGGACGGGGCTTGGAGCAACCTGGGCTGGTGGAAGGTGTCCCTGCCCATGGCAGGGGGTGGGACTGGATGGGCTTTGAGGTCCCTCCAACCCAAACCATTTGTGATTCTGTGACTGCATGAGCTCCCTTCCCAGGCTGCCATGGCCTCAGGCACCACCAGCAGGAGATGGAACTCCTGAAAACACTGGGGTGCCCATCAAAATGGATGGGTGGGTGGGTGGATGGATGGGTGGATGGATGGATGGAAGTTGGCCATGAGGGCAGCTCCCATGTTCTTAATGAAAATAAAAATAGCACATTTTCTGTGGACCCTACAGAAAATGGGGGTTCTATGCCCAGAGTGGTGGTGGGTGAGCATCATCCCACAGACAACAGTGCAGCCCTGATTTATGGGGTGGGTCCTCTGACAACAGCTTTTGGGTGAACTGCCCCTCTCCCCCTTTGCCTTCCCCCCCTGTGCTCTGTGAAAAGCTGCTTCTGTTTTAGCTGGAAGAAAAGGATGAACTTTAAGTTGAAATTCAAGTATTCTACTGAAATGATGCCAAAAAACATTCATTTCCCATTTTGTCTGCAGCCCAACCTCTGCTTTGCTTGGGCAGAAGAGCGAGTTCTCTTCCTGGGGCTCCCCCTCCTGCTCCCCACTGGGGTCCAGCTCATGGAGAGAGATCAGAGCCCCGAGGCTCCTCCTGGGTGGCCACAACGGTCAGGGCTGCTCAGAGGGACCAAGAGCTCTGAGAAATGCCAGGCCAGGCCAGAGACCTCCTCTCCCTCTGTTAGAGCTCCTCACTCTGCACTGATAACAGAGCATGGTCCATAATGTGCTGGAGTTTTGTCACCTGGGCTTGGAGGGGTCTGTTAACGCTGAAAATTAAATTCTACCCGTGTCCTTCTTCAAGGACAGTCACCATTCCCATCTGAGTACCTTCCCAGGGAATCAGGGGGTCATTTGGGTTGGAAAAGACCTTTAAAGTCATCGAGTCCAACCATAAACATAGGGCTGCTAAGCCCAGCACCAACCCGTGGCCCCAAGTGCCACATTTACATGGCTTTAAATACCATCACATGGTCCAGGGAACACTCTTCATAAAATGAAATCTGCTGCAGGAGGATCTTCTGGAGACACTCAGCCTTGCAGTGGAAATAATTAGTCATGAGAGGATATTTTTTTAGCAGTGAAAGGATTTTAGCAGTGAGGAGTTTAACTCCTGGGGCAGATAAACTCTCCACCCCTTGAGGTGTAGAAGCCAGACTGAATGTTTTTATGCCAAGTTTCGTCACACAGTGGATGAAACCTCCTGGACAGCAGTAAGAGAGGAGAGAACCAGGTGATTTCTGCAAGAACCTGTCGCTTGAACTGCGGGCTGGGAGGGAGGTTCCTCCTGAACTCGCAGTCCCAGCGTTAGCTCTGGTTAAATTTACAGCAGCAGCAAATCATCAGCAGTTTGAGGCACACACACACATACACACAGTCATAAAGGTGGGAAGAGACCTTTAGGATCACCAGCTCCAACCCATTGGGGTCAGGTTCCCTCACACTGGAGGAGGATGACCACGCTGTCCAGAGCTCCTTGGTCCTGACCCCACAAGCAGTGGGGTCCAGCGTGGGGGGCATGGGCAGGTACAGGTTGGCCCCCCTGATGTGGGGGGGGGATGCCCTGCCCAGCACAGTGGGCGAGGGCAGTGAGGAGGGCAGGGATGTAGAAGGCCAGCATGGCACAGACAGGGGATGTGCAGGTGCTGAAGGCTTTCCATGGGGACAGCAGCCTCGTCACCACCCCACAATCATGGTGTGGGACACGGGATCAGCAGCAGGTCCAGCACTGCCACCAGGAAAGCCACGCAGAGGCCACGTGTGGCACTGACCCCGGTGTCCCCACGGGCCACCTTCCCAGGGCCACGTGCTGGCAGTGGGAGTGGGGGGTGATATGGTGCTGGCAGGAGGAGTGGGGGGTGATGTGGTGCTGGCAGAAGTGCCTCCTGTGGAGGAGGGGGCACATGGGGCTCACCAGTAGGACCCCCCACACCAACCCCATGCTGCCCAGGGCCCCACCACGGGCCCCCAGAGGGTGCCAGAGTGCCAGAGCAGGCAGCAAATGGCAACAGAGCCATCCAAGGCCATGGCCACGAGCACCCCCGACTCCACCGTGGAGAAGGTGTGGATGGAGAACATCTGAGTGAGGCAAGAGGGAAACCCAACCTCCCCCAAGCCCAGCCAGAAGATGCCAAGCATTTTGGGCATGGTGGAGGTTGACAGGAGCAGGTCAGTGAAGGCCAGCATGGCCAGGAGGAGGTACCTGGGCTCCTGCAGGGCGGGCTCTGCCCTCATGGCCAGGAGCAGGGAGATGTTCCCCAGCAGGGCGAGGCCATACGTGATGCAGAACAGGAAGGCAATCCAGAACCGTTCCTTCTCCAGCCCAGGGATGCCAAGGAGAAGGAAACAGGGAGGATGGGAGAAGGCAGTGCAGTTCAGAGACATGAACCCTTCTTGTTTCTTGCCTGCACTGAGGGCTTTTGTGTCCTGTGAAAAAAAAAGCATCAAACACCTTTGGTCTGACCTGGCCAGTGGCAAACAGGGACTGGCAGGAGGTTGGGTCTAGAAGCTCAGATTCCCCCCACAGTAAACCTTTGACAGCTGCTTGCACTGGGCCAGGAGAGCCCCTGTGAAGGAAGTGTCCTGCCAGCTGCCACTGGAAGTGCCCTGTTCCCCTTGGGGTGGGCCTGGAGCAGACGGGATTCCTCCTGGATCACAGTGAACAGGAAGACTGCCCAAGGTGCACACCTGATACACTCCAGTGTCCAAAGGATGTCCAGCCCAGGAGACCAGATCAAAGCTGGAATGAAGCATGGGGAGTGGGGAGATGGAGTCCTTCGTGCTGGCCCTGGAGCTCCAAGGACGTTTGACCAGCACCGTGTTGCTCTCCAACGGGAACTGAGGTGCCAAGTGCTTGTCTTGGTCAGGAAACACCCAGTTAGCAAAAAGCTGAGCCAGTGCCACAGTATTTGGCAAGTCCCCCACCCCACCCACAAGCCCAGAGCTCCAGGGATGCCCATTCTGCCCCCAAAGAGACTTTGGCTGCCCCAGACCCTGACATTGCTCTGCTTGTTTTCCCTGATACCTGGGAGAAAGGATCCCTTGGAGAGCCCTGCAGATCCTGAAGATTCCTGAAGATCCTGGACTGATGAGACCCTTTGGAAACCTTCCTGGAGCTGCTGGAGAGCTGCAGGGAGCAGAGGGCTGAACAGGGTCCCAGGACAGAGCGGGGTTTTTCCTCCCTGAGGGTCTGATGTAGCCGAGCCGGGTCTGCTCCTGCCACACCCAGAGTGAGGTGTCACTGTCACCACCACAGCCCGTCCCAGCACAGCCACCAGGACCAGCTGGAGCTGGGCTCTCAGCTCAGAGAAGAGCAAACCTCACAGGTACTTGGGGCTTGGAGTCACCTGCACTCTGGGAGACATTCCCTGTTTCTTCCATGTGGCTGAAAACATTCACTGAAGTTCCTGATATTTCACTTCTGCATTCCCCCTCCTTCCTGCCAGCTGCCTCTGTTGGTGCTGCTCTACTTAAAAGTTCCTTTGTCCATGGAGAACACAGGGACAAGGAACACAATTCCCAGGCAAAGGCAGTGGGAGATGGGCATGAGGCTGCCCAGGAAGATCCATGGCACCAAATCTCCTATTGCAGAGCAACAGGTTCCTGCCCCAGCCCTAAATACTCACCCACCTCCTGCAGGTCTCAGTGCAGGGACTCTGCTCTGCAGGGATCAGGAGATGATTTTCTCCCTCCCACATCAATCCCACAGGGAGCTCTGCATCTCCCCAGCTCTTTAAGGTGCAATTAGAAAGAGAAGGAGGCAGTTTTTAACCCCCTTGGTGCCAGTGACCTCCCAGACACGGCTGTGCTTCGTCCCGTTTGGTACCTGATTTCTTGCAGTTCATTTGGAGGAGACATAAGAGTGATCAAAGAATCATGGAATGGTTTGGGTTGGAAGGG